GGGGGTTAACCGTAAATAACCTACCCGTTTACCGTAACTTAATTACCTCGTGTAGTAGTATAATATATAGTCTTCCTATCATCTATTAATAGGAGAATTGATATATATATATATATATATATATATATATATATATAGGTCATTTCCAAGTGGATGCGCATGAAACTGTTCTGGTAGTTAATCACTTCTGAAAAAGAGCGATGAATCATGATGTTGATGTTCCATTTTTGATAGTAATAAGGGATTTTGATTCAAAATTTCTTTGCAGCCAATTGTGGACTATAATCATGTCAATTGTGTAACAAATAAATAAAACATATAACAGTCAAGAAAAATGATTACCTGTGCATCATAATAAATATAGATTTAACTAAGAAAATATCATTCTCAACAAGTTATGTAGTAGCATATAAACAACCAGTTACCTTCGTGCTATCCTCACCAATTAGTTGAACTTTGAACTGATGAATGAATGTTTTGCCAGCCTTTATATACACAGTTGGTGATATATGAGTGACAGAAAATAATGATGAAGTCCCACTCTTGTATCTATAATGGATTTGATTATGATAATATCACTAACTTAAAATTGAACAAAAACAGACTGATTTCCATGAATTGCCTGTGAAAACCATCTTGTATTTCTTGGAAAACATCATCTAACCTCAAGGACTTGCTTAGACAATGTTCGAGAAATAACATGATTTCTAAAATTTAGCTACAAAAACATAATAATTTCTTGGAAGAATATCTGCTGATTTGCACATTCATTATTGAAAAAAATAATTTGATTATTACCTGCATATTAATCATCTAATTAATTAACTTTTAATTAAGATAAGTTAATTACGTATTAATTACTTTCAATTTGCATATCAGATATCCATTTAATTAATTGAACTGTAATTACTCAACATTAATTTGGTAGTAATTGTTAATTTGCATATAATTTACACCTAATTAATTAATTAACTTTTAACTCTTTGACTGTGATCTGGGTGGATTCAACCCAGTCTGTATCCACCAAAGTAACCATAAATGTACTTGTATCTTCACGACTTTTTTCAGATTATCAGTAAACAAGGCTTTCATACACAAAATATCAAATTTTTAACTAAGTTTTAAGATTTTTTAATTCATGATTTGCTTGTGTATTTTTTTCTTTTCGAATGTTGAATATTCAAAATGCAAAATAATTTGGATTCTAAGATTATGAATAGTTCTATGCATCAGAAAATTGTCGAATTTCACATGTGAACTCTATATATCCTCCAGATAATTATCAAAATTTTTTTAGAAAAACTTTATATTTTATCTGTTATTTTCTCTTTCTTATCTCTGGACGTGTTAGGTCGATTTGACCAACCTCATAACCACCAATAAAAATTAGACAATAGATCTAAATTATGCCTTTTTTCGTTCTAGAATAACTACAAATGTTTATTCTTAATAGCTTAAATCTCGTAACATTATTCATCAATGTATATTTATTATTTTTATTTTATTGACCTTTCAGCTGTGTCTGACTAATATTACAGAAGTTGGCATCCCACAGCTCGTGCAGCTCATTTTACCACATCCAATAGTATAAAACTGGTCTTTACAAAGTACAACTGTGTTAGCTTTGTTCTAGTGACCCAGTATATTGTAGAACTCGGTCACATTTCGTTTATAAATACATTAATGTGTATATATTAGTACTATTAACAAATAAATTCTTAAATTTCAGTTATTTTTCTTAAAACATAGAATAGTAAATAAAGAAATATAGAAAACAATGATCGCTTCTACTTACGAAGTTTGTACTCACTTGCTGTAATTTGCTAAACCTTGAAGAATTTTGCACATAAAGGACGTGAAACAAAATAATTTTTGAGGTTTTATATATGCATGTTGAAATAACACAAAAATCATAAATTAATGTATCAATATCACAAAATTCCACTGTAATTTATCAGGCTTACTAAGTAAGCTGTATTTGGGTCTAAAAATATCATTTGTCGATCACTATTTAGTCTTACTTTCTTCGAGTCTACATAGAAAAAGACGGTTTCTCCCGCGTAAAACTTTGCAAAGGCTGAAAAACCAGGTGGGGGAAATTCTGAGTTTAGGTTATTTCCAAAAATGGAAGAGGTGGGTAGGGCCACCTTGTTTGATTCACAAAATATAATAATATCTCAGAAAATAAAAAAGATAAGAGGTCCTTATTTTATATTCTAGCTTGTCAATATCGGTAATTTGAGTATCCAATTCGTAAGAAACTATAAACTTTGTATTTGGATGTAGCAAACATTTAATTTGAACTAAAGCTGTATTCAAGATACCAGGTGACACACAAAAATCGATATTTAGGAGTTTTGTTTAAATATTTAATTTTAAATTAAGAAATTAGCTAATGTATAAAACTAACATTTGAATTATACTCTATGATTTGATACCAAACTTAATGACATACATCCATAAAACAGTAGTTCAATAAAATTTTGAATATAAGTCTATAAACGTGATGACATGTCCTCTGACCCCTACCCATACGTAGTGACAGGGTTAATTAATAAACTATTAATTAAACATAAATTAATTTGCATATCATTATCATCTAATTAATGAATTGACTTTTAATTAAAATGGGTTAATTATACACATATTATTAGCTTATCATCTGCATATGCATATTAATTCCATATGACGTCACATTTTCGTCTCCATAGTGATCTTATAACTACTCACATGCATGTTTCATCTACAGATTATTCAATTATTTAATTCCCACTGTGAGCAGTTTGAGCGAATTATAATATCTAATAATTTAGTTTGTTTTCTTGATATTTCGCTGGAACAGGTAATATATTGATCTTCAAAATTTTAAAAAGTATGTAAGCTATTACTGACTGAGCCTAATAACATATGTTAAGAATGATAGATATTCAAATTATAGCACATATTTATAATTCTATTTAGACTATGAATCTATGTAACACAATTCATAATAAAATGTTATCTCAACACTCATTGTAAATTTATATATGCATATTAAAAAATGCTCACAATATCGTAAATGGATACAATGAAAAATGTTTGGTATTATGTTAATATAGGTACTGTTAATATTTAGAAGAACGATAATTTCGAAAGTTGGCTAAATTGAGAAAATATATCAGTAAAATAACGATGTCACGTTCTATTGTTGTTAGTGGATCCAATTCTATGCATGTGTATTTCTTGATTAATTATAATGTTTAAATTATTATAGTTTATATATATATATATCCCGTATGTTGCATTTAAAATATGTATTGTATTCGGAGAATGAAGTCACTGCCATTCTGAAATATTTCATAATCAAGCCATGTAGAACTCTTTTTAAAAGCACTTTGCAAATGTGGTGTTCCAATTTTAAGACAAATTCTAGAACATGTTTTTTAACAGCTAGTTTCTAAAGAATAGGCATGAAAGAAGTTTTGGTTTTTGATCACAAGTAGCAATATATTTTATAAAAAAAAAACAGTTTCTTAAAGTGTAAAATAAGCCAATGTTCGTTAGAAGAACAATGGTTTTGAAAGTTGTCTAGATTCAGGAAAATATATCAGTAAAAAATAATGACAGTGTGGGTTGACCCTGTGGTAGAGCTATGAATTTCGGAACTGGCGAGTCGGCTTTGAATCTGTAAGCTGTGAGTGCATTAATATAATGACAGCCAATCCCTTAGGGTAGATGAAAAATGGTACGGCATTACTGACTAACTGTCTTCAGTACTTAAAAATTAGGGACGGTAGTAGAAAGCCTAAGTAGCTTCGCCATAAAAATAAACAAAATACAAAAGAATAATGTAGCATCTCATTTTATGCATGTTATTTTAAGGAGCAGCACAAATAATGGGGAAAAATAATATTCATACAAAATCGAAATATCTTTACTTTTGTTCCAAACTTTCGAAAAATAACAGATGATATACCCATATCTATCTATCTACTGCAACAGGACAAACAAACAAAAACTAGGCCTTTGTTAAAACAGTTTTTTGTTTTTGTTTAAATTCTCTTATGTTTATTCTTCTTGTTTACTGATTATTCTGATAGTAACAGTGATGCTTTTTCTATATGCATTGATATCACATAAAAGTTTTATGCAGTGGCATTTATTGTGTTCCTAGATTTGTTTAGGATAAATTGGTTTCAGTCTAATTTCATTCAATTTTCGACCTTATCGTTCAGTAAAATGGTATTACATTTCAAAGGTCTAAATTATAGATTATACTACTAATATTAAAACTTGCACTGAATACGCTAATTATTGAAAATTCCAATAAAATGTAGCTGCTTATACAATTCAGAATAAATAATTTGAATGAGTTATTTTAAATGTGTTTTCTTTGACAGTGGTAAAGTAATTTGATTACAATAAAAAACGAGACATACTTAAATGTAATATAAGAGTAGAGAGTTAACCGATTTACATTGTAGAGAGGACAAAAGGATGAATGCCACTTCGCTTTTCAAGTCTGAGCCACCATTTGTTATATTTTTCCGTACTCTCTAACCAACTCTGACAGCAAAAGGTTTCTCACTCATGTGTAAGGAATCAACCAGAGATCCATCAATACGCACTTTAGTTGCAAATGAGTTTCTGACCATATGGTAAAATACGTAGATGAAGGCAGAAAAAGGATTTGAATCCATAAATCCTTTTTTTGCCTGATAACTCTATAGAAAAAGATTTATAAAAGGACTACGATGATTAAAAGTTTCTTAATGTTGCCAGATAACTCTAAATTTTATTAATGTTTTTTATTTATTAGATATTACTTATCCTAAACCTAAAATAAGCTACAGCTTTTATTTTTCATATTAATTAAGCCAATTATACTTACATATACTTTAAAATTATCTTACCTTATCGATAAGCAACAGTTATGAAGCTTTAGTGCTGGTGGAATTAGGGACAAGTGATAATGTTGTTCTCTTCCCTGTGTGATATTTTCAGGTCGAACTCACATTCGTTTGAGCGACAAGATAAATCCTCAGAAAAGTGGAAGAATCGAACAAGTTATTCATTACGAAGCAATTCTGAGACCTTTGTGTGAATGAGTTCCTTAGAAGGAAATAAAGACTGAGCACAAAATGCAATGAAAAATATGAATCATTTGAAAACAGAAACACAGTGTGTGTGTACTTACTTATGGATGATGAACGACCATATTAAATAGACCGTAAACTACGATTTCTCCAAACTGCATTGGTCGAAACCCTATTCCAGACTGATTAAACTATACTTTACTTAGTTAGACAGCAACGTCAAATTTATCCAGAACGGCCAGCACTAAACACATGACTCGTCATTCATGTTAAAACATAATGGAGGTTTATTGTAACCTCGAGACATTACCTGATCTATCATTGCCTATATTCATGCACCAGGTGCAGCCTTACAGCAATATCCTCTCACAGCATACCAGGCGTTATCTCAAGAGAATGACAAAGAAAAAAGGTAGCTGGAACGAAATTAACTGAGCGACTTTCTTGAACTCGTGTTATGTGTAAACACACATATCTTTCTGGAATAACTGATTAACTTCGAAAAAAAATTATATTGAAATAAGAAGGTAGAATTGCATACAATACTTTCCATGCCACATGCTATTAACCCGACGACTACCGGTTACTAACTTTCTTAGTAGACAATGCAAGTCTTGC